TCAAGTGGTAGAGCGCTCGCCTTGAGCTGAAGAGCTGAGGGACAGCGCCCAGGCCCAGAGTTCAAGCCCCACGGCCGACCAAAAAAAACAAAAAAAACAAATCAAAGACATCTGAGTCACAGATGTCTTTCCAGCTGATATTTTACTTTTGAAAAGTAGACAATTACGTGTATATGTGCTATCTGCCCATAATATTAAGTTTCAAAGTGATCATACCTCTTCAATACCAGCTATATTATTCACAGCCAGTTTTTTTAGAGAACTCTGAAGCTTTTTGTCATCAGCTGTAGCTGTCCTATGTACCACCTTCTTCTTTCTGCGAGCTGTACCCTGAAAATAAATTAGATGTTAGCACACCTCACACCTGACAATAGCAATTATATTTTTCTATCCACTATAATAATCTTCAAACTCACATTTAAAGAAAGGAACTAAATAGTAATCATTACTAAAAAAAAAGAACCTAATAGAAATAATAATAATTAGTAAAAAACTAAATAATTACTAGCAATAATACTAATAATTAATATTACTAATAGTAATAGTAGTAATAGACTGTTCAGAGTTGTCTGTTAGCCTATACCAGATTTTTTTTTTTGGTCGGTTGTGGGGCTTGAACTCTGGGCCTGGGCACTGTCCCTCAGCTCTTCAGCTCAAGTCTACTGCTCTACCACTTGAGCCACTTCCGTTTTTTTTTCTGGTGGTTTATTGGAGATAGGAGTTTCACGGTCCTTCCTGCCCGGGCTGGCTTTGAACTGTGATCCTCAGATCTCAGCCTCCTGGGTAGCTAGGATTACAGGCGAGAGCTACCAGCGCCCGGCAATACCAGATTTTAAGACCAGGTCTTGCCCATTCTTATTCTTTTTCTTATATATTATGTCTCAAAATACTGTTTGCTAATAAAATGTATTTCATAACTTCAGAACAACTTAGTGTACTTTATAACAATGTTGAAACATAATAAGAAATTTTTTCCTAAAATCCTTACCAATCTTTGCCAATACAGTCAGAGGCCTGTATAACTTTTTTTTTTGCTGGTTCTGGGCTTGAACTCAGGGCCTGGGACTGTCTGTGAGCTTCTTTTTCTCAAAAATAACACTCTATCACTTGAGCCACAGTGCCACTTCTGGCCTTTTCTGTTTATGTGGTACTGAGGAATCGAACCCAGGGCTTCATCCATGCTAGGCAAGCACTTTACCACTAAGCCACATTCCCAGATGCCCCCCGCCCCCCAGATAAACTGTTAAGAATTATAATATACTAAGGATTAAATTACTATTATATAAGCATTTTGTAATTTGAGAATCTAGGAATGAAGAAATATCAAGTTATTACTTTAAGTTCTTAATCTATAGTAACAAAGTAAGGTCAATAAATACACAAACAAGTTAGATCATTTCAAACCAGATAAAGGCTATGAAAAAACAAAAATAGACCATGGTAACTAAGAGTGCCTGGGTGGCAACAAAGCCTAAAGTTACTTTATTAAAATGTCTAGGCAAATATCCTCTGAAAAAGTGACATGAATTGAGACCCACAACTAAGGGAAGAGTGGTCCAAGCAAAATGACACAAGACTAGAGAAAGTGAGCCAATATGACTAGAGCAGAGCAAACAATAAGAAGAGAAAAATAAAATCAGAAAGATAGGCAAGGGCCAGATGGAGTAGCCTAGCATACAATGGGCAGAAATTGGATTGTATTCTAATTGCAACGGGAAGACATTCAATGGTGCTAGGTATCGGAATGACTGGATCTGATTTATGTATTTATGACTAAGATTGCTGTGTAGATAAAGGACTACAATGATACTATAATGACAGCAGTCAGAATATTCCTGCAACAGTCCAGGGGAGAGATAGCAGTGTGGCAGGAGAGACAGTGAGAGTCAGACTGTCAGAGACAACATTTCTGATGGATTAGATGTAGAACATGAGGAAGAGAAGAATCTAGGATGATGCTCAGGATTTTGGTCTGAGCAAACAGGATGAAACTTATATTATTTATTAAGCTAGGAAAAGTTGCCAGCGCCAGTGGATCATACCTATAGCTATTCAGGAGGCTGAGATCTGAGTGTCGTGGTTCAAAGTCAGCTTGAGCAGGAAAAGTCAATGAAATTCTTATTTCCAATTAAATACACAAAGCCAAAAGTAGAGCTGTGGCTCAAGTGGTAGAGCGCTAGCCTTAAGAATAAAAGTGTAGGGCTGGGAAGTTGGCTCAGTGGTAGAGCGCTTGCCTTGCATGCATGAGGCCCTGGGTTCGATTCCTAAGCACCACATAAACAGAAAAAAAAAAAAAAAACTGGAAGTGGCGCTGTGGCTCAAGTGGCAGCTGAGGGGCAGCGCCCAGGCCCAAAGTTCAGGCCCCACAACCGGACCAAAAAAAAAAAAAGAATAAAAGTCCAGAGTAGGGACAATGCCCAAGTCCAGAGTTCAAGTCCCATCACGGGCAAAAAAACCCAAAAAACATAGGAAAAGTTCATTTCTATATTGACACTTTGGAACTCTAAGTAATTTTTCACTGAAAAGAATATTCAAAATGGATTAAATTCCTAAACCAGTTAAAAAAATGTAACTGAGAATAGACCTAAAATACTACCAAAAGCAGTCTAAATTTTGAGGGTTAAATTTTTCTGAAGCAGAAGGCATGAGGATATAGGACAGGGGTTTCAGTCTCTGAGTAGCTCCTGCAGTGATCCTCAGGGACTAGACCTTACAGAACGGCGACTTGGGCTATAGTCTCAGCAACTCCAATGGGAGAAAAGAGCTCTGATGACAGGCGCTGTGAGGCCCTCCAGCAGCTGAAGGATCACTACTTAGATAGATGGATGGTAATTTACTGTGAGGCATTCCTGATTCAAAGATAGCTCAGTTGTTGGTAGCTCAAATTCAACTTGTCTAAATGTTATCAGTCCACCCATCTTAAATTTTGCAGCTGGCAGGAACACCATATACCCACTTTTTTTTAATGGTGGTGGGACTTGAACTCTGGGTCTGGGCATGGTCCCTGAGCCCTGCAGCTCAAGGTGAGTGCCCTACTACTTGAACCACAGCACCACTTCTGGTTTTCTGGTGGGTAATTGGAGATAAGACTTTCTTGCCCAGGCTGGCTTTGAACTGTGAGCCTCAGATCTCAGCCTCCTGAGTAGCTAGGATTACAGGCGTGAGCCATCCTCACCTGGCTACCCACTTTCTTAAAAACAGAAGCTTAGGGGTCACCTCAGTTTTCTCTCAGCCTTCATCTCCCATCAATCATTAAGCCATACCAATTTCAACTCCTAAATTTGTGCCCCATATAGCACTGCAATAGACCCTAAATTGTTTTTTTTTTTGGGTCCAGTCGTGGGGCCTGAACTCTGGGCCTGAGTGCTGTCCCTCAGCTCTTCAGTTCAAGGCTAGCACTCTACCACTTGAGCCACAGCTTTTTTCTTTTTGTTTATGTGGTGCTGAGGAGTCGAACCCAGGGCCTCAGACATGCAAGGCAAGCGCTCTACCACTGAGCCACCTTCGCAGCCCTAGACCCTAAATTGTTCCCAATTAAACTTTCATTCTACCTTCCAAACTGCCAGAAATGACCTTTCTAAAATAGCTGCCATTTCTTCTTAAAAGTCCTTCATTAGCTACCTACTATATATAGAATAAAATCACAAGTTCTTTAGTATGGCATATAAAACTGATGGAATCACAAACTACCAGGTCATTTCATTTCCTACATTATCAATTAAAACCTCTAAACTCTGCCTGGGTGCTGGTGGCTCATGCCTATAAATCCTAGCTACTCAGGAGGCTGAAATCTAAGGATTGCAGTTCAAAGATAACCTGGGCAAGAAAGTCTGTGAGTCTCTTATCTCCAATTAGTCACCAAAAATGGAGCAACAGATCTGTTTGTGGTAGAGAGCTAGCCTTGAGCACAAAAGCACAAGGATGGCACCAGGTCCCGAGTTCAAGCCTAAGGACTCACACACACAAAAAACAAACTCTAAAACTCTAGTTGTGCCAAACTAAAGCAAGCCATTCCATTAAATACCATATATTTCAAAACCCTGTGCTTTGGCATATGTACAAGCGACAATCCTCTTTTTCATTTTGCCAGTTTAGGGGCATGAACTCAGGGCCTAGGTTCCGTCCCTGAGTAAGGCTAGCATTCTACCATTTGAGCCACAGTGACACTTCTGGCTTTTTCTGTTTGTGTGGTATGGAATGGAACCCAGGGCTTCATACATGATAGGCAAGTACTCTACCACTAAACCACATTCCCTACCCCGACAATCCTCTTTTTATCCTATCTTATGAACCTTTTGACTTGTCTAAGTGTTTTTCTGTTGCCTTTTTTTAGTTGGGGTTGTGGGGCTTGAATGCTGGGCCTAGACGTTGTCCTCAGCTCTTCAGCTCAAAGCGAGCTATCTACCACTTAAGCCACAGAACTACTTCCAGTTTTCTGAGTGGTTTGTTGGAGATAAGAGTATCACAGACTTTCCTGCCTAGGCTGGCTTTGAACTGTGATCCTCAGATCTCAGCCTCCTGACTAGCTAGGATTACAGAAGTGAGCCACTGGCACTTGGCCTGTTGCTTTTTTTGTGTTAGGGCCTGAGTACTGTCCGTGAGCTCTTTTGCTCAAGGGTAGTGCTCTACCTCTTTGAACCACAGTTTCACTTCTGGTATTCTGGTTAATTAGAGATAAGTCTCATGGACTTTCCTGCCAGGGCTGGTTTCAAACCGCAATCCTCAGAGCTCAGCCTCCTGAGGAGCTGGTATTACAGGTGTGAGCCCCTAGTGCTCAGCTCATGTTCGTACTCACCAACATAGAAAATGGGTAGGAACTTGTGGGGACATTAATAAACTATAACATTAGCTCAAACATCACTACACTTCCTGTAAACCTATCTGCACTATAGGATCATGCAGTTAAGACAAGGTAACCCTAGCACCTGGCATGCCCTGTAGATGAATAAAACATCACAGCTAGCACTTATTAAACATCTACCCAGGGCCAGAAACCATGTTTGATATTTCATAATAATTACTCCAGTGTTTAGAAGCATCTTTTAGAATTATTTCTATTTTACAGATGAAAAGTGGAAGCTCAGCAAAAATGGGTAATTTGTTCATGTCACAGAATATGTTGTCAGGATTCAATGGTGGCCATTGCCACTGCACCACTGGGAGTAAGGTTCTTGTTATATTTAGATCGAGACAGATTATTTTCAAATTGGAATGTGGTTAGATCTTAATTATTGAAAAGATTTTTATACTTTCAATGACCACAAATCCAAAATACTAATACTACCTGATAATCATACATTCTCCTGTCAAGTTTTCTTATACCACACTCACCTTGCCCCCTATCCGGACCTGAGCCTGAAGTTTGGCTAACTTTTCTTGATTCATGCTGTTGATAAATCTAGGGGGGGAAAAATAGATTTGTTAAAGTCACCATTTAACCAGAGATTTAAAAACCGTTTATGTAAACAGTACTTCCTGGCTCACTGAACTTTCCATATACATTAACATCATGATCCTAAGTCCTGACTGTTCTAGCTTTCATAAACCTGAGACCTAATTATATCACAAAGGAGTTAAAAACACAGACAGAAAAGAGAAGAGCACTGTGGATGTAGCTCAGTGGTGGAATGCTTGCTTAGCATGGTCAAGACCCTGAGTTCTGAGTTTAATCCCCAGCACCATTAAAAAAAAGTCAGTCATCTATTTGAAGATTCCTCCCTTAAAATATAGTTCAATTCTTCAGCATTCAGTAAAACCTAACATGAAATCTGTTATCACACCAGTTTTTTCTCCGTATGACTTCTATGCAGAGAACTGACCAAATATTATTAGCAAAACCCTTCAAGTAGATCATTTTCTTCCTAATCACACTCTGTATGTCTTATAAACCATAAAGTTGTTAAATAATTTCTTAAAGGGGGAAAAAAAACCAGGCTGGGCAAATAAGAAACTCAACAATAGGCTGTGTAAAGGTTAAGATATGTAACAGTCATGCCCTTTATTCAAGGTCAGATGACTTATTAATAATGGGAAAATAGAAACAAACTTCCAGACATTCAGTGATTCTGCAGCACTGCAGAATTTATTAAATACCCTGTGTTTATATACTAGGTCACATCTGATAAGCTATTCTTACATTTAGGGTACAATGTTTAACTGCACGATTTAAAATACAGTTTGACTACATTAATACTAAGAAACTGCAGGGAAGATTCTTAAAACTGCTCTCGGTTTTAAAGATTTTAAGAACATTATAAAATTACAAATTCTAGCCTGGTCAAATGATATTTCTACAAAGGAAAACAACATTCCACACTATATAAACAAATAAAAGCCAATTTAAGTCTTGTTTGACTTGTTCCATGGCTTAATAGGTCATTACTGAGATGTGGAGGGAAAGCTGTTATTAAACTTTTTTGTCCGAGTCTCTAACTCCTGCAACATCATTTCTCACATGAAAAGACACTGTCTTCTACATTTGGAAAATGAAAAAAAAATTATGTAATTACTAACCAATCTGTATTGACACTGAATTAACCTGTGTATATCTTCGCTTAAAAGCCAAAGTTCAGTTTCCAAATGACAATTCTAACCTATGATTTCTTAGTCTTTGTCCAGGATTACATTGCAATGCTCAAGCAGCTTTTATGGGAGGAATTGTGTACAATCCAAAACAAAGAATCTTACACGTGTGTCAATCTTAGCTCTGCCAGAGACTTAACATTGCTGATGTAAACCTTAATTTTGAAACTCAGATATTTACAGGAAAGGTCTAATACTGACTTTTCTCAAAGAATGTGGCCATGAAGATAAAGTAATAGAGTGCTTGAGGAATTTCTTGCAAAAAGGGAGTCAAGTGAAAAATGTTACAACTAAACCCTTTAAGACTCTTCTGCATTTTCAAGTAACACTCCCCAAGAGATCCAATAGGGAAGTCAAGACAGAGTCCTGACTTGTTTGAAATGAAAGCAAGAACATATTTAACTGTGTAAATAAAAATGTAAAGAATAAAAATGAAAGAATAAATTCTATTCCAGGTGGTTAAGAAACCAGAATGGAGAAATCTTATTTCCAATGAGTACTTCAGAGAAAAGAAATTTTAGGGAAATTAGAAGCACAAGGCAGCAGGGAAAAAAGAAATGAGCTATTTTATTAATAAATTAGGGGTAAATAGTAAATTAAGAGACATAGTAAATAAGGTGATTTGGACTCAATCTATAAGAGATGTCAATTTCAGTCGACCTCAACAATCACATGGTTTAATATCCTATTATGGAGTCTTTATTGTATCTGTCACTTATGTTTTATATGATGTCATCTCAAATATCTGCTATCAACAGCAGGGTAATGAATTATAAACAATTTACCTCTTTCCCAACTTAACAAAAATGAGAGGGCTAGAGGTGTGGCCCAAGTGGTACAGTGACTGCCTAGCAAGTAAGCTTGAGGCCCAGTCCAAACCCCAGAACTGAAAAAAAAAATAAAACCAACAACAAAACACTAAAAAATAAGATAAGCCAAGGGTCTTAAGAGAGTTCTTTTTTACGACCCAAATGGAGAAGTAATTTCCTAAAAACTACATAATTCATTGGATTCCTTGGGGCTCCAAGGGTCATGTAAGCACTTTCCTCAAGGAGGAAATCAAGGTCAATCAATACTTGATATCGGGTGCCTCAAGTCCAAGCCTTGTGGCGGGCACTTTCACACGCATCGTATTTTGCACAATTTTTTTTTTTTAATTCTGTGAGGTTTCTCTTAAGAGAAGCACAGGCTGTGGAATCCGGAAGCCCAAGGTTCTACCACTTCTGGCTTCAAAGCAAAGTTACTTCTTTGGATTTGTGTTCCTCCCACTTCAGTTAAGGGCGTTACCATCACCGACTTCCCAGAGTGGCTTTGAAGGTGAAAGGTCAGATTATCCAGCCCTGGATCCGGCTCACCGAGATACTTCCTACTCGGTAACACCGTTACCCGTCCCGGCGGAGGGGTGGGGGAACAGCTGGGGTAGAGTGAAAGAACGTGGGAACGGAAGTTGAAACCGCCATTCACTAGCTGTGTAACACTTTTACCGGCCGGGTCAGTCCCCCGGCAGCGTGCTGGGGTGTTTAAGGATGGGCTGCTTTCTCCAAAAGGCAGGCCGGATGTAAACAAACACTGCCGTAACTAGGTGAAGAGTGCGGCCACGGAGCGACCGGTGCCCAGGGCTTGGACGTGGTGGTGGTGGGTGGGGAGACTGTAGTGCTAACCTCAGTTTCCCAATCTGTAGACCGGAAGGATCAAACCGGATGATCCCAGATCGGGTGTATAAAGCTCAAAGCTTCTGACATTGTTGCTGTGGTTGAAGGAGGAGGAGGAGCGGGACGGCGGGGGAGGGGTCCCCTCGCCTCCCGGGACAGGATCGGAGCTGGGGCCACAGCCTGGGTCCCTGGGCTCGCCTCCACGGAGGTGCGGTGGTGCGGGGGGACCTTCCCTCCGGTGCCGACCCCCAGCTGCGCCGCCGGTAACCGACAGGCCAAGCCGGCCGCCTCCGCCCCCACTCCCCGCGCCGCGGCGGAAGTGGCAGCCCGAACGGTTGGCGGGTGTCGAGAGAAGAGGGCGTGGGGTGGGGGGGAGACCGTGCGCAGCGGCCTATGGCCGTGGAGCGGCGGGACCGCCGGGGGTCTCACCTGAAACAGGGAGGGTCCTCCAACACCAGCACGCGGCAAGAGCAAGATGGCTGCCTCACCCGAGACAGAGAAAGACAGCGGCGGGAGCGGTGGCGGCGGCGGCGGCGGCGGGAGCTGGAGCGGGGGCCCACGTGACACGGCGGCTCCGCCTCCCCCTCGGGGGTGGCCTATACCGGGTGCGCGCCACCCAACTACAAGGCCCAGCCTGCTCTGCGCACCCCAATATTTCTATTGGCGGCGGGTGCACGGGGCTCGCGCGGCCTCCGGGCTGCCAGCGTCCCATTGTGTCTGCCCTGGATTTCGGGGGCAAAGGGCGGCCTTGTGAACGTGCGGTGTGCGCGCGCGCGTGTACTGGATTCGGACGTCTCTTCCCCCTTGCATTTACTACATAACTGTTTAATCGTAGGAGAAAAGATGGGACATGTTGACCCATTATCGAGTGTGTGTGTGTGGGGGGGGGTGAATCGGGAAGACATTCTCAATGACCACCAAAGGAAGGTTTACACTCGCCATGCCTGCAGTAGTGTGTTTCCTGGAACCTTTGGTCTACCTCGTCGCTGGTGCAATCAGAGATCCTCCTCCCCCTCCCTCCCCGAGTCTGGCTTTCTTGAAGTTTGCCGCTAGCCCTGAGTGGAAGACTTTGCGGTTGCCAAGGAAACGTACGATCCAGGCCCGGCACAGCCAAACGGTTCCCCTCCACCCCCCAAATCTCCCAAGACCTGAGCAGGAACGAACAATGAAATCCAGTCGTCCAGTCTCTTTTTGCAGAGGAATTTGAGAAAGCTGGGGGTGGGGGTGGGGGATCGTTTGCATTTTAAATATTAAGTGTAGCGGTTCCCGGCGGGAGGGGTAAGACGGGCAAGCAGAAGCAATCAGCAAAGGATCACTGAACCTCTTCTTTGCCCTCACTTTATCTTTTTGGGGGGCATTTCTCTCCCTATGTCCCAGACCAAAGGAAAGCAACTCACGCTCCACAACTATTCCAGCATCCTGCTACGTGATCGGCGCCTTTAAACTCACTCGGCCCCACACCAGACCCCCGGAGGCGCCACCCACATCCGTCTAACATCACTTCCTTTAAAGTTTGGGAGAGGAAAAGAAAATCTGTGAAGGGGTTGGGCTGAGCCGTCGGTGGGGAGCCGTGTGGATCTTCTGCTAGGAATCCGACCCGGTGTCCGTTCAGTCCGGTGTCCCTGCGCACCGACCGCCATGGAGACGTGCCTGCGTCCCGGGGCCACCTGTTTGCTGGGCTTCGGTTTGCTGCTCCTCGTCACCTCCTCTCTTGGACGCGTTGGGCTTGGAAAGGGTCAGAGCACATTCTTGTCTTAATGTTTAGCAATCCCGGACCCTAGTCTGGGGTAACCCCTTGCTGTCTAATCTCTTAGATCTCGTCAGATTCCTTCTCATCTTCCGTAACCGCTCTTGGGGGGTGGGGGGAGGGCAATTTCTTTGAAGTTGAGAGTAGCGAGCCTGGGAAGGTTAAGAAAGGGAAGTTGTACTTAATAGAAATCTTTAATTCTTGGGCCTAGGGAAGAAATGGCCCTTACATCAAGATAAGCTTGCTTAAAAACTGAACAGCGAGCTAGTTTGTAGGCCCTCGGGAACGGTCACACCTACCCTCCAGGAAGAAATGGAGTGGAGTTTTGGGGGCATAGATTAGTTTTGTTTGCCTTGGGTCTGAAGATTCTTCACTTTAACGTGTAGAGCCTTCTCCAGGACCTGGGATAATAGCACCTATTTCCCAGGGAAATGCATTAGAAAGGGCTGAATGAATAACAGAAGGTCTGTTAGAGGGTCACCAACGTTATTTTTAGTGTGGCTCAGCTAGTATGTTGGGAGCAACTTTTTTTTTTTTTTAGGAGCCAGGGATCACTGGTTGTGAATAAGAAGTTAGGTGGTATGACCATCTCTATTCCAGCCTATTAATTTCATCTTATCTTCATTCTAAGCCTGAACACCTTTCTCTTCACCGCTTTCCTAGTCTTTGTGTGTGTGTGTGTGTGTCTGTGTTGATAGTGAGGGCTTCTTGCATGGCTCTTCCCCCCTCAAAGCTGGTGCTTTACCACTTTAGTCACACACCTCCACATTTGGCTTTTTGCTAATTAATTGGATCTCAGAGACTTTTCAATTCTAGCTGGCTTCAAACTGTGATCCTCAGATCTTGGACTGGATCCGCAGATCTCAGTTTCTTGAGTAGCTAGGTTCACAGGCCTGAGCTACCAGTGCCTAGCCCCCAGCATTTATTAAAATTGGATTGACCATAAACTGTAAGTCTGTGAGACTCTTATTTCTAGTAAACTATTCTGAAAAATCCAGAAGTGGTGCTGTGGCTCAAGTGGTTGAGTGCTATTCTTGAGCACAAAGAGGCTCAGGGATAGTACCTAGGCCCTGAGTTCAAGCTCCAGGACTGGCAAAAAACAAACAACAACAAAAACTAGAAAGGCTGACATTTAGTTAAGGTCAGTAACAGGTTATTGAGGAGATGGTATTTGTGAGTTTCTATTTGTGATGGAAATGAGTCCTGTTAGGTCAGTGTGTTTTAAATGCTGGGAATCCCATTGTAAAACAGGCTACTGTGCATTTAGAATGAAACTATAAATACTGAGGCAGAGCGAAGAGTACAATGTTTGGATATGTGTGTAGAACCGAATTTTACTGACACTCGCCTGCTTAGATGCCTAAGGCCTGTGGCTTAACCTCTTAGTTCTTCAACAAAGGAAATGGGTATAATAACAACTGCTTCAGACAATCAACAGGTATTTTACCATGTTCCAATTTCTATGTTAGGCCTAGGCAATCCCTTACAGTCTTGTATTCAGTATCAGTTGTTAGACCATAAGCTCTATGTGGTTGTCTGGGATCCTCAGTGGAACTTGTTCTGACCTATATGATTTTGGGGCATGGGTTAGTTTGGTTTGGTTTGGTTTGGTCTGTCGTGGGGCTTAAACTCTGGGCCTGGGCCCTGTCCCTGAGGTCTTCAGCTCAAAGCAAATAAGTACTCTACCACTTGAGCCACAGTGCCACTTCTGGTTTTCTGGTTGTTAATTGGAGTCTCATGGACTTTCCTACCCAGGCTGGCTTTGAACCTCGATCCTCAGATCTCAGCCTCTTTAGTAGCCAGGATTACAGGCATGAGCCACCAGCACCCAGCTTAGTTTTGTTTCTGTTTATTTGAGTTTAGGGCCTCAAGCTTTCACTTGGCTTTTTGGATTAAGACTGCTGCTCTACCACCTGAGCTACACCTCCAGCTTTTTGCTAGTTAATTGGAGATAATAGTCTCACAGAGGGCTGGGACATGGTTTAGTGGTAGAGTGCTTGCCTAGCATACATGAAGCATAATACCCAGGGTTCAATTCCACAGTACCACATAAACAGGAAAAGCTGGAAGTGGCGCTGTGGCTCAAGTGATAGAGTGCTAGCCTTGAGCAAGAGAAGCTCAGAGACAGTGCCCAGGCCCTGAGTTAGAGCCCCAGGACTGGCAAAAAAAAAAAAAAAAAAGGAGGGTGGGGGGGGGCTGGGAATGTGACTTAGTGGTAGAGTGCTTGCCTAGCATGCATGAAGCCCTGGGTTCCATTCCTGTACCACATACACAGAAAAGGCCAGAAGTGGCATGGCTTAAGTTATAGAGTGCTAGCCTTTAGCACAAAAAGCTCAAGGACAGGCCAAGCCCTGAGTTCAAGTCTCAGGACTGGCAAAACAAACAAAACAAAAAAAGAGTCTTGCAGATTTCTCTTCATGCTTCAAAGCGTGGTCCTCAAATTTCAGTCTCCCATGTAGCTAGGATTACAGGTGTGAGCTAGTTAGTATAAACTTCCTTATAATATGGCAGCTGGATTTGTTTGTTTTTGTTGTTGTTGTTTTTGCCAGTCCTGGGGCTTGAACTTAGGGCCTGAGCACTGTCCCTGAACTTCATTTGCTCAAGGCTAGCACTCTACCACTTGAGCCACAGTGCCTTTTCTGGCTTTTTCTATTTATGTGGTACTGAGGAATCGAACCCAGGGCTTCACGCATGCTAGGCAAACATTTTACTACTAGGCCACATACCCGGCCCCAAAGATGTTGAGTTGTGTTTTTGTTTTTGTTTGCCAGTCCTGGGGCTTGAACTCAGGGCCTGGGCACTGTCCCAGAGCTTCTTTTGCTCAAGGTTAGCTCTCTACCACTTGATCCATAGCACCACTTTCCAGCTTTTTCTGTGTATGTTGTATTGAGGAATCAAAGTCAGAGCTTCATGCATAATAAGCAAGCACTTTACCACTAAGCCACATTCCTAGCCCATTGACAACTGGGTTTGAAGGGTGAGTATATACCACAATGGAGCAAGGTGGAGGTATATGGTGTCTTTATCAATTAACCTTGTAAATAACTTCAAATCAGTCTACTCCATGTGGGCAGGTTCAAGAGGAAGGGACATTAACATCTCCACCTCCTTCCCTCATGAGAAGTTTATTAAGATCACATTTTTAAGAAAAGCATGTGAGATAGAAGGTATTGTTGCCGCTGTCTTTGGTGAATATTATCAGTCGCAATGAGCCAGTTTTATTTCTGTCTTGTTTTTGCTCAGGAGTATTGAAAGAGAAATGAATGAGAAACACAACCACTGTGATCTCTGTCCTTTTCTGCAGACAGTCACATGACAGTACAGTATGTACTTTGAGTAGGAAAATATCACGTTAACTGCAGCAGCATATAGAAGGACAGCTCAGTACAAAAGGTGCTATGTTGTGAGGATTCAGTAAAAAAAAACAAAAACAGATACTTAACATTGTGTCACATTTTTAGAAAGTAGTAAAGGTGAACTAATTATTTCATGAGAGAATGTTTAACTGGTGCTAGGGATTAATATCAAACTTTTATATATCTCCTGCTTATCGATTCTTAGGACATAGATAATACTCTACTCACCTTCCTTCCCACAAAGTGCTATCTGAGCTGAGACTCTTGGCTCACACTGATAATCATTGTTACTCTGGAGGCAGAGATGGTGGTT